CAAGACTCCTTCCAAATAGCTCCCGCTCTGTAAACCCTCCCTGTTAACCCATCTTGCAAAATCTTCCACTTACTTTGAATTTAACTGTTTTTTCTCATCATTGGTTCCCTAGAGTCTCAGTGAATTATCTGTTGAATGATCAAACATTTGCCACATCAAAGCATCAGAATTACACTCTTGGCAGTTTGTTTGTGTTGTTTAATCTCCTCAGAGAGACTGTAAACTCCTCAAGACTAGAGATTGTGCTTTACTTGGTGCCCTTCAGCAGATCTACCGCGGGACACACTCTGGTACCCAACGGATGTCTGGTGGATTGAACTCAATCAAAATACATCACCACCCCCACCTAAAATAACTATGGAATCAACTTCAAGAAAGTTTCTGCAATCAAAAGAATTGGACAAAAAGGTTAGATTATTCTGAGGAAGGTGTGAAAATCTGACATGACTGGAACCTTTTTAAAATGGAGCTGAGCAGCTGGTGCAGAGAACCCCCCTTAACACCTCTGAACCGGGCCAAACCTTTGGAATGGCAAAACCGGAGCTCTTTGAGGCAAGTGCTTGAGAAGTCAGGGAGCACGGACTTCCTGATCCCAAGACTGATGACTGTGGACTTTCTGAAGATTTAATCAGCAGTCAGTCAGTGTACCACCCCGAGTAGCTTAGCTTGTTAACACTCGTGGAAAACTTCTTTTCTTCTACTCATGTAATTTCCCCCCTTTTCTTCATAAAAACCCCTTGCTTCCACCCTACAAGCGGGATGCTGGGTTTCTGCCTGAATCTGTGCTCCCTGAATTACAATTCCTTGATCCCAAGTAAACACTCTCTATTCTTAGGTTAGCAAAGTAGATTACTGGCCACTTTTTATGTCCTAAATTTTTATGTCCATTTTTTAGGTCCTAGTAATGGTCTTAAATGCTTCAAATTAAGTCTAGGCAGAGGATTCTGAACAGCCCGGTGCAGAAACAAAAAGTACACACATTTTAATGGCTCTCCTTTGCCTGAACGGCAAGTCTTTTTGTTTGTATTTCCTGAGAGTAGAGCTTCGTATTTGGTCTCGGTTTTAGTTTGCTGGTCACGCTGATGGTGGAAATATCCCTGTATCAATTTACTGCTTGCTCCAGAAAAATAACTGGCAACAATGCCGAATCAAATAGGGAAATGGCAGGGGTTCGGAGGTAAGGGGGCAGAAATACACAGGATCACTACCTGCACCTTCACTCCTTAGGGTGCATACACCTGAAAGGGGACACCATCAAGGAAATCCCTTTCCCCCCAGCAGTGTTTCTCAGAGTTGGCTGAAAACAACCAGCACAAGCTCACCTCCAGTTCCCTGCATGTGTGTGTGTGTGCACGCCTGTGCACAGTGGAGACCTTTACTAGGGGCACTCCTCAGCAGATTCTGGTGGAGAAGTTTGGGGGCAAGACCTTGGCAGAAATCTGTGCTCTTAACAAGCTCTCCAGGTGATTCTTCTGCACAACAAAGCTTGAGAACCAGCACAATTTGACACTTACCTATGTGACAGATCTTTAAGTTGGAAGGGCCTACCCATGCCATCACACTTAAAAACTAAGAAAAAGCAGCCTTTGTTTCTCAAAAACACACCATAAGGCTTGCCTCAGAACACCTATAGCATTATGTCACTGACCTCAGCTAAGCAAAAGCCTAATAGCCAGAGAGACAGTTCACTCCCGCAACACCACCTACTTTCCCAGGTGCCCCAGGCCAAGGGCAGGAACACCTACCTCTACATATCATCCTTGGGGACCAAGGCGGATGAGACATTTATGACCGGCCCATTTAAACCAGGGAGGGACATATAAGTGTTCTCCCTTTGGAAAGTGAGGGGTCCCTGGGGAACAGTATGCCCCGCTCAGACACAGGGGAAGCCCGGGGCAACCAGGCCCTGCTGAAGGCTGGACCCACCCCACGATGACTCTCCTGCCTGGGCAGCCTAACACAGACACGTTTCCTCAAGAGGCAGCCAAGAAGTCCTTCTCAGAATAACAACGGACAACTGAAAAGCTTTTTTCTGCCTCCTCTCCCCCATAAGAGGCAAAGCAACTGGGAAATCAACTTGATAAATGTGGCCTGAAGCTGGCTGTCTCACTCAGTGAGGCTAACGTGGACAGAGCCCAGGACGGTGCTCAAACACTCACTGCTCTGCACGGGAGATGACCACTCCAGGCTCAGATGAGGCCAGGGGAGGAACGGGACATGGAGGCCATTTAGAGAATGAAGCCTCATTTCAAAAAGCAAAAAAAAAAAACTGGGTTGGTTTTCATGCTGACTATGCCCTCGAAGCCAGAGCTGGGCACGGGGGGGCCACCACAAGGACCCAAAGGACATGTCTTTTTGGCCAAAGTGACCATGAGGAGGAAGAGGTTATCCTAATCAGAGTTTTAGGCATTGGTAACTTAAGGGCCAAAGAAAAGGGATTATATCACACCCAGGGGGAGGGCCTTCTAAGAGAAACGGGGGTGCGTGCTAGAGGTAGGAGATGGGGAGAGGAGGACTGGGACTGTCAGCAAACAGCTTCAAAACCTGTAGGGGCATTTCTCCTGCCACTCTGGCTTCCTGGCTGGGGTCCCCAACACCAGGGCATAAGGGGCAGACACAAAAGCAAAGTAAAAACTGGGAGGTCCCCCTGTTGGTAGGGGGGTGGGAAGTGTCACATGGGCTACAAGGTGAGAAAGCGAGGGCACTCAAGAACCCCAAAGTCAATTTACTTGATCCATCAAGTTTTGCTCCAAGTATGCACTGTCTTTTAAACAGAGTGTATTTAAAAGTCTTTTTACAAGTTGCCATGCTCAATTTTTAGTAAATGCAAAACCAGTGTCTGTTTACTAAATGGCAATTCAGGATGACTAAATAAAAGCCCAGGCGGCCCGAGTTCGCTGCAGTTCCCCCTGACTTCAGAAGGAGCTTTGGCACGCTGAAGCGGTACAACTGAGCAGCAGCGGCGGAGAGCAGCTGCCACAGGGCGCCCGGGACAGGCTGGTGACCGCGGTGAGGTCCCGAGCCTGCTTTCAGAGAGTGCACATGCTGTCCCAACCCCTGCCTGTCCTCATTCCCCGGGCCCCCTCGGGCCACGCGCAGGGCTCCCTTCAAACTGGGCTCAGGTCTTCCCTCCACAGGGCCCTGATGAGAACCGCCCCGTCCTGCAGCAGAGGGCAGAGCAGACGTTGAAGGCCTGCGCGGACCCGGGGGAGAGGAAGCGGGGAGCAGGAGCTGATCGCCCCTCAGTGGCAAGGGAGGCTCCTCCTCAGCCCGGGAGGTGGCAGGCACCTGAGCTCGGTGCAGAGGAACAAGGAGTCGCTGGGGAGGGAATGTGTGAGGACCTGGGGACCCGCTGTGGCCAGGAGTACTCCTGAGAGGAGGGCGGCCAGGCAGGGAGCAGTAGGTGCAGGGACCCAGAAACCTGGGAGTGGGGATTGAATGAGGAAGGTGACAGGGCCACGGGGACCCCTCAGGTGGCTGCAGACCTCCCGGGAAGGGGGGTCTACTGACCCTGCAGGCTGAGAAGGAAACGGGGAGCAGGCGTGGGAGGGTAGTGAGCAGGCGGCTCTGGCACATTCTCCCGCCTTCCCTCCAGGCCTGCAGTGGGGGGTGGAGGCAGCGCACCCGCAGTCAGAGTGGGGCAGAGGCTCTGCATGTGTGAGCCTTGGGAATCCCTTTTTATTGGCTGTCATCCTCTTCAGTTGTGTCAGCCTCACATTCTCACAGGAGGCTGAGCTATGCTTCCGCTGTCACTGGGCTACTCAGCATCACCCCAGACAGAACCCGTCACTGTCCCCGCAGCAGGCGCTCTGGCTCCACTTCCGTCCACTCCCTCCTGCAGCGACCCCGGGCCGGGCTCAGGGCCAAGTGCTCAGGCAGGGGCTCAGCAGTCTATCGCCCCAGGACCCCGCAGGGCGGATGGGGCAACAAGACCAAGTCACACGGCTTAGCGAGTGGGGAGACTGGGCTCGGCCCCAGAGTTTCCCTGGCCCCGAAGCCAGTGCCCCCTCTGGGTGCTGCCAGGGCAGTGGCTGAACCCTGGTTGCCCACTTGGATCCCCAGAAAAGCTGATGGATAACACCCTGCAGGGCCTACCCACACAACTGAGATGACTGAGGTTGATCCCCTTTATGGGGCTTGGGCCCGACCCAACCCCCCGCCCCGTCCCAGAGACTTTAATAGCAGCTAGCACTGGGAACCATGTGCCAGAGACCCCAGGATGTCCCGGTGGCTTCTGGGTGCCAGCTCTTCGCCTGGCCGTGCTGGGAGTATGGCCAATCCCTGCTGAATGAGTGAAGGAACGAAAGCTTTGCCCTGCCTATCAGGGTGCTACCATCCTTCCACTGCCCCGCCCAGCGGGAGCTCTCTCCCAGGGAAGCAGGCCCATCGGCTCCTAGGCTAGCCTCTCCCGGCACCATCCCTCCTCTCCAGGAATGTAGGAGACCCCACCCTCCCAGGGCATCGCTTTCATCTTGCTACCTTGTTCAAATGCCTCATGCTTGCTCCCTGTTTAAGGGTACAGTTGTAACCCATCAGTCTGGTGCTTAAGACCCCAACAACCTGCTCCCTGTTCAGTCACATTCCCATCACCCACAGTCTCCATTCCAGCCACTCAGGTATTCTCTTTGTCTCCTATGTGAGTCTTGTGCATTCCTACCCAAGTGGCTTCAGTAATGCACGACCCTGTCCCCCTTCCGTCCGGGTCCCACCGTTGTGAGGACCTGGTTCTGTGCCATGCCTTTGCTCTTTCCCTCGGCTTCTCGGGAATCCCCTCCAGCTCTGAACAGCAATGCCAAGACTCGCACTTGGCTCCATTCTTATAAGGCTTCTATCCATTACTTCAGTGTGCACTTGTCCTAATTTCCCTACTAAATCATTATCACTTGAGGGTGGCAACTTCAAGCATATAATTTTATCCCCCCCACAGTGACCGACACTGCACATTCTCCATGAGTGCCCTGGGCATTCCGCATCTCCTGGGCCAGTGAGAATGGTCTTACCTGTAGTATCTGGACTGCAAGTAGGTGGAACACACGGCCTTGGACACGTGACTGGCGGAACCAAAGTCAATGACCTTTACTCTGTAGGGCTGTCTGGATGGATCTACCAGCATGATGTTTTCTGGCTTGAGGTCGGCATGGATAAGACCCAGGCTCTTTAGTTTCATCAGGGCTGTGGCTACCTGCTGGAGGACTGGGCGAATGTATTTGAGGGGCAAGGGGCTAAACTTGTTTTGCTTCAGAAAGTCATAAAGGTTCTGCTCCAACATCTCAAAGACCAAGCAGGTGTGATTCTTGTGCTGGAAGCACTCATAGGCCCGCACAAAGTTGTAGTCGTCAGCACTCTCAGTGCTCAAGCGGGCCAGGATGCTCACCTCAATCTGACCCTGCCGGGCGTACGAAGGGTGGTTCTTCAGGATTTTGATGGCCACAATTTCATTGGTGCCCCGTTTCCAGCACTTGACCACTTGCCCAAACGTCCCTCGGCCCAAGAACTCTAAAACTTCGTAAGTGTTGGTCATGGAGCACAGCACCTCATGCTGGACGAGCTGATAATCCCCTTCACTGTTGGAGCCACTGTTCTTGGAGGTGGCAGTTGAGGTGGTGGCAGTGGCTACAGTGGCCCCACTGGCATTATTCTGAATCATGGGTGGGTGCTCTTCGATGATCTGCACACTGCTCGTGTTCTCAATCTCCTCACTCTTACGCTTGAGTCCACATTTTTGGTAGGTATCAAGAAGGCTCACAGTGCTTCGCCGCATTAGGTTATGTGGTCCTCCGAGGACTTGCCCAGTGACAGAAGTGCTGCTTGCTGATGTTACGACTATGTGCCCAGTGCTTCCTGGGAAGATGATGGTCTGCTCGTAAGGTAGGCTTGGGTTTGGGATCGGCAAGGAGGTGCTGACGGTTGTGGTGGCTGGCTGAGAAGGTGGTATGTTCTTGCTCTGGCTGTACACTTTGCTGTGGGAGCCGTACCCAGTCATGTCCCAGTTGGAACTCGGCTCTACTTTCAGTTTCTTCACACTACAGAAGGCACTTGATTGAAGGGTGTGAGGGGAGAAAACTTGTACATGCGAGGCCATACCTACCAGCAAAATAAAGAGAAATAACTGTTTTAGTCACCATTGCATGAACAAACGCAACAGACTCATTTCAGTTCTGACCAGTGGCTGGGGTCCTACGGAATATTTTCTTCCCACTTCAAAAGAAGATTGACAAAGTGAAGCTGTGCCACTCAGAAGCTCATTCTGGGTATTCAGTTTGTGGAGCCCAGTAGCTCCAGTGTTCTACCTGCCACCAGTAGGAAAGTGGGAGGCTTGTTAAGAGTAGAGCCAGAAATACAGTCAAGATTCAGATACAGAAGTAGAATATCAGGACTTCAATAAATTCATTATTTATTTCTAAAAAATGTGAAAGAAATGGATTCCTCCTCAACTTTCACTGGGCTGCAATTCTATTAAAAATGAAGACTGTATCGGGTGGCCCTGGTAATTCTTAGGTATTTAGTGGTCCCACATGGTCAGCTACTTCTTGTCACAGACCCTAACTGTCATTAGGGACTCACATCTCCCCACATAGGTCCAATCACAGAGCTACTCATGAGCTTCCGGATAAACCGTAATTACTCTGTGGGATCCTATCACCTTGCATGAATTCTGTAGGGCTGAGTAGATCAGCAGTTGGTCTGATGTTTTTATTTAGACAGTCTACATAAAACATATCAGCCTTTTGGCTGGGCTGGGGAGGGGGCAGCCCAGTTTGTAGGCTCTATGTACTAACTTTTCCTGCTAATATTATAACAATATATTTATCTAGAAAGTACTATTACTTTATACCAACATCTCAGCCATAATTAAGATAACCTCAGAAATCTCGCTCCGGAATAGTTGTACAATTATAGTTACGGTGATACTAAAACAAAAATCCATAGACAAGTATTAAGGAAAAGTAATCAGACACCAAGAAAAGATAAAGTCTTAAAGGTGCAAGTAGAAACAAACATTGCCCATCTTCTAAGCTGCAGTTTGATAAACATTCCTTACAGAAGCGCAAGGAAAGTGGAGTTCTATTGCGCACCCTTGGTGTTTAGCCATCCCAGAATCCGCGTCTCTCCGATCCCCCAGCTTTATATAGAGTGGTCATCTAACGCTTCTCTTTCACCCTGCTGCCCACCTCCCAGGGCACCCTCTCTCAGCAGACCATCCACCTTCCACTTTGTCAAACGCCTGCGGCCAGCAGTCTTGCTTTCTACTTTTATTCTCTTCATTTCTAGACATTTCTGAATCTGCACCCATCCTCCATCCTCTCTTCCTTCTCTCCATTCTCAGAGAAAGAAGCGTCTCTCCTTCCCAACACTCGAGTCCCCGCTGTCCTCATGATTCACCCTCTCCTGTTTTCTCTTGAGGCCCCTTCCCTCCACTGTCCCCTCCTTCTCTTACAGCATTCAATTTCTCCCTGTTCACTAGATTCAAGGACTTCATATTTAAGTCTTGCCAACCGACCCAGTGGCTCAGTGTTCCCCTTCTGCCTTCCCATGGGGATCCCACACGAACTCCCAACTTGGAAGGCAAGAGGCGTAGCAGCCGTCTTCCCCCCTTTTAATTCTTTCCTCTTCCTCCTCCTCACCTGCAAACGGTTTATGCTCCCTTTTCTTCAAGGCTCACTCCTCAATCCATCTCCCCCACATACACTCACTATGGGGCTGTGTTCTTAAAGGTAAACAACTTCCTAATTGCCTGACCCAATGGCCTTTTCCTAGCCCCTATTCTCCCTGACCTCTCGGCAACATCTGATACTGCTGACCATAGCTTCCTTCCGGGCGCCCTTATCTGTGCTTAAGTGAATCTGTAACCTCCTCCTCTAGTGCCTGATTGCACACTGTGTGCTCCGGGGGTTCCTTTTCCTCTTCTTCCTTTAATGTGTTGGTGTTTCCAACGTTTTGACTCTGTTCTCTCTGGAAGGTAACCATTCAAGTCGTTTAGGCTGTCATCTGTAGGCCAGCGACTCCCAGAGGTTCATCCAGGCTCTCCCGCACACCTTCCATTAGCGTATTTCTGTCTCCTGCTACATCACATCAGACTGTCTTCCCGAGCCAAACTCCTTAATCTTTTCCTAAAAACTTAGCCACCTCATCCTCCATCCTAACATCCCCATTTCTGTTCATAAAATATTCTAGTCACTTGATTCCCAAACTATAGATTTGCCTTTGATGATTCTTCTTTGCCTCCATGGATAAGGAAGTGCTAAGTCTTATTAATTTCTCCTTCTTTCAAATTGTCTCTTGCATCTGTCTCTTTATTTCTGTCCATGCTGCCACTTCCATTGTTAAAACATTTATCAGGTCTAGTAGGACTAAAGCAAACACAGACATCTGGTCTACTTGAGCAGTCTTCTTATAATTTGCCCATATCCAGCCACCAGATTAATATTTATTCTTAGACTATTTCTAAGCATGTCACTCCTCTGTCCAAAAGCTTTCAATGACTCCATAGTGTTAAGATAAAGTTGAAGACTCTTTTACTTAATACCATCACATTTTAATTTCAACTATCTTACTGGCTTCATCTCCAACTAGTAACTTTTCTCAACCCTCAACTCTAATTAAGCTGTTCTAGTCACTGTTTCTAGAATGTCTCTTGTATTTCCTACCTCCACACTGTTCCACCATCCCCCATCTGGCATGCCTTCATTGTTTCTCTTAATTTATCCAAAGACAAGATAATTCATATTCCTCCTCTTCTCAGACCCTTCAACCCACAGTGACTATTCTCCAACATTCCGTCTTATGGCACTTAACCATATGTAACATCCATTTCACTACAATTTGCATTTCTGCCTTGCAAAATCTCTTGTCTTGTTGAAATGAATTGCTTATCTTTTGTGCTGTTTAAGTTTTACACATTAAGGTCATATTTCCATAACCAGGCTATATTCTGGGGGCAAGAGCTCAGATTACACCTCATGCTTCCCCCAGTATTAAGTTAATTATATGTGGTAGGCACTCCGGTGACGGGATAAAGTGCTCTAACTGGCCAGGCCCCCAGGACAGCTTAGTTCTCTGGCTAAAAGCAATGACCAGTCCCAGGCACCTACGGAGCTTGGCCTCACCCTGGAAAGTGTCAGTATTTTGACAAACTGCCAATATTCCCCCACCAAACCATGACTTTAAAAAGAAAACACCAAGTCAGAGGCTAGGCAGCTTCCACCCTGGGGTTTACCTTCATGTTATGCCTGTACCTTCGCCTGGATGTGCTCTGACTTCCCAGGGGCAGCCTCAGCCTGTCTAACTCCCAACACCTGCTCTCTGAACCCCATCTTGACTCTGATACTATAGATCTGACAGAGCTTCCTTTCTTGTTTAGATCCTGAACTCCAGCGCCTACGTATGTGATACAGACGACACCTCCGTAGACATCCTTCTGCCTGGCAAGACTATATTGGCTTGCTTATTCAAATTCTATAATTTACCCGTTTCTTCCTAGTGCTCTTTTTGTTCAAGTCTACCTTCCCCTAATTCTATAATAATACATACTGTGGTTTTTCTATATTTATCGTATTAAATATCCATATTGTTTTAAATGTTGTATACAGTATAGAAATAACCAACCCTTTGGCTTTGAGTAATTTATTCACTGAAGAGGAAAAGCAGATGAGCATTTCCCTTTCCTTTTGGAATCTAGTTTGCCCCTTATTCCTGGACCCTCAAGCACTTGGGTGGGGTGGGGTCAAGGGTGGCAAGAGAATATACTGATGGTGCATGAAGAGATGTAGCTCTATTCTCTATTTTCATTGTTTCAAAAATATTTTGGTAGAAAGGCCAGGGTGTAGAAGTACAATTTTACAGAGAGGAAGAGGGAGGCTTATGACTTATTTGTTACTGGGATGATGACCAAGGGTTGTAATATTGTGAAAATCATCGTCAGCTCCCTCGGGTGACAGAGGCCTGGGATCAGCGAGGACGCTGCATGGCTAGAAATGTCTCTCACCATGCCTGCTGCCTCAGACCCACATTCCTCAGGATTCTCACATTTTAAAATCTTGAGCGCCTAGTACATACCAGGCTCTGGGCCAGATGTTTTATGGACAGGGTAAGCACATACCTGACTTTGGACTGGCATGGAATTACCCTGATGTTAACCCAGTTAATGAGAGCACCCTTGCCACCTCATTCTCACAAGGATCCTAGTTTAAGAACTTGGAAGTCAAATGATGGGTTAGGCTGTTAAGCTAAGTGGAAAAACCAGACCCTGACCCCAGAAGTGCAAACCTAGGTGATTCTATACGCCTTTGTCTATCTTAATGGTTTAATGAGAAATTCATTTTTCTAGGGTTAGGAGGAGTTTTTTCTACCTAAAAATCTCCATGAATTCCCTCAGGTCTTAACTCACAAGATTTTTTAAATGTCGTTTGTTAAAGGGTTGGCTCATTTAGTTCTTTTTTCCCACTTATTTGTTTAGTTTCTTCATAATTTTATATTTCACAACTAGATGAACTAAAAGTTGCTTCATATCTGAGTACATTTCCTTTCCATTTCACCACCCAAAATTATCTACTGGAACATCAGACTCTGGTGAAACTACACAGCCAAGGGGAGGTGGCAACTGATGGGTGGGAAGGGGTGGATTTGAAGTGTGGGGCATACTTCTGTCCACCACCTGATAGAAGAGTGGACACCCAGACAACGATCCCAAGCCATCTATCATTTCTGGACCCTCTGCTTGTGAGGACATTTGAGAAAGATAATCACTCAAAATTCTTCAAGTAACATACACCGATGTCCCTAAAGAGGTGACCTTCGCTCGTCAGACGCACAGCGGCACAGTGCACAGAGCACCGGCCTTGCGCAGGATGATCTGGGCTGTCCGGCCGTCTGGGGGCAGCTAGTGAGCATCCGCACTAAGGAACTGCCTGAGAAGACAGAAGAGAAGGCAGCAACATACGACTGTAGGGACGAAAAGGCGGGACACACGGACAGATGTAAGGGCAGAGGAGGAAGGGGAGTCAAATACGTCAGGGCCTGAAAGGGAGGGGGGAATCCATGGATGGTGACAGCAAAGATGGGAAGCGTTACTGGAGTCGTTCATC